TGAATAAACCTTTAGATTCTAAAGGATTGTCAACAGCGTGATTTGTGGGTAAGATCTGACTTGTATATTGGCCTGGGGCTTGGTCCTTTGGGATCGGAAGAACCTTTTTTCTTTGCCTGGGGTATTGGTTTCATAACCATTTGTCCCCATAAGGAGTGGTGCTGGTGGTGATACTGGGAAACTGGAGTGTCTAAGGGAATTGCTTGTGTGACTTGTGGTTAGCCACTGGGGTGAGACCAAAGTCCTGTCTGGCTTGTTTGGTGCCTTAGAAGTGGAGAAACCTCAGCCTTGCGCTGTAACTGCCCTGCTCTGAGCAATTTGTCCTGAACTGGCACTCTCAGAAGTGTCCCACCAAAGGCAGGATTGTTACACCCACCTACTAATAAAAGCTCTGCCCTTTGTCCTGGCAATATGTCACCTTCTTGAATTACACTCTGCTTAACCACAGAGATCCCTGCACCTTTATCTTGCCATCCAAAGTATTCCCAGTCATTAATTTGACAACCTTTATTTGCTCCATGTTTGGTTCTGTGGAATCCAATCCTACAACAACCAATGTACATTTCAGGGGCCTCAGGGGCTTCTGTGCTGAGGGCAGCAGCATTAACATGGGTTACTTGTTGCCTCCTTCCTTCCTGCATAGAGCATTTATCCCCCAGGTGATCAGAGGAATTAGCGATAGCACCGGATGGGAATTGGACGAATGGCTCTGTGGAGGTGAGTTTCCCACCCACCCTCCTTTCTCCCAGGAGTAAAACAGGAACCTCCCTTCCCTCAGGCTTAAACTCCTGTCTGCGGTTTACTTTCAATAGATGCCAGGGTCTGCTCAAAGCCACCAGCTAGAGATGTCATCTCCTCCAGTCTTCACATTTTTATCCCACAAACACTGTTTTACATCATCTTTACATGTGCTTAAGAAACGTACTTGACCAATGAGATCAGTCAGGGGCTCAAGATTTTCAATGTCTTTTCCCCTCACCCACTTTCTTATCAGGTCATTCAGTCTGTTTACATAGTCCCATTACTCAGACCAGCACCCCGCTTAAGATTTCTAAATTTCACCCTCTATGTCTCAGGTAATTTGAAATCTTTGCAAAAACAGTATTTTAAATGTACCGTGGTTTAAAGCAGCCTCAATTGCCATTTCACTGACTATATTTAGAGCTTTACTTTGCAACCAGGGACTCTCCTGTTAGCAGGAATTTCAAGAAGCTGTGTGTGCCGTACATGACAGCAGTAAAATATTCTGTGATCTGGTCTGTTTCCTTGTATGTAACTGGCCCCAAGTGTGGATGGGAACCGCTAGGCTCGGTGGTTTCTGGTTCTCCTTCTCTAGCACAGCCAGTTGGTGGTTTTGCTCTCTCTCAGCTTCTCTGGCTTTCACCTCTAGGACCCTCTGATCTGCTGCCTCCTCCCTGGCGGCCTCGGCCTCTTCAGCCTTTAGCTCCAGTACTTTAATGTCCAGCTGACACTCATGGGGTCTCTCTCTTTCTGCTGCCTGTAATCGGCACATCTCTAACTTTGCAGCGGTTTCACTCTGGCTCATCTTTATGCCTTTCTGTTCCTATTGCCTTTCCCGAAATCAGCAAATAGAAAATAACAAACTCGTAACCTTCTGTGACAAAGTGGGACTGTTCTTAATGTTTCCTCTGAATACTGTGTGGGTGCCTCAGTTTCCCCTATGCATTTCTTAAGTCTCTAGGTGGTGGGATAAAGGCCAGTGTGGCTCAACCCTGGTAAAGAGGTGGTGACCACGAGAAGGGCTGGCACACTAGGGGTTCTTCCTGGAAACCGTGGGGGAGTTGAGAGCACACGGGCCTGTGAGTCCAAAGCAACTTGGGAACAGTGGAGTGATGGCCCATCACCATCTCCATAAGAAGGACATTGTAATCATGTGCAAAAAGAGAGGGTTACACATTGGGAAGTTCACCAAGGCCCAGTGAATCGAGCAGCTGGAGGACGAGGACCACTCTAAGGAGCAGATTCCTGACCCAGACGGGGCTACAAGAGGATCTGGGACCAGCTGGAGCAGTAGCCAGGCATCCCCAAGAGTCTGGTCCCCGACCGGACAAGGGTCTTCACGATCGGGTTCCCCATCAGGGGATCGGAGATGGATGGGATTGGAGCTGAGTCCGAGTGAGCGAGAGGACCGTGAGAGAGAGCGAGAGCCCGAGGAAAAGCTGCAGGAGAAGCAGCAGCAGCATGGACTGGCGCTGGTGGAGCGGAGAGGCGTAGGGGGCTCCCCAGGGGTGAGTGGGGATAGACCCCGGGCTGCCAGTTCCGCATAGGGGCGGGGCTGGGGCCCTGTGGAGTGTCCTCTTTTTGGACACTCAAAATAGGGTTACCCTATCGGAAGCTTAAAGCCGTCACCGTGTCCGATGCCCACCCCACGCCTAGGCCGGGGGAGATTCTAGACAAGCTGAGGAGATGGAGATCGTGGCCCTGGCGTACATCGATGACGTGTGTCTTTAGCCAGACCTCGGAGGAACACGTCTCTCAGGTGCAGAGGGGGCTCGGCTGCCTGAAGGAGGCAGGACTGACGGTAAAAGCCGAAAAGTGCAAGGTGGAGATGATCCGAGATTGGCCCATTCCCCAGACCAAGAAACAAGTCCAGGCCTTTATCAGGATGGTGGGGTGCTACAGGAGGTTTGTACCCTGCATTAGCCCCCGAGCTGCCCCCATCCCTGAGCTAGGTGAGAGGGGTAAGCCAGACGAGGTGGTCTGGACCGAGCAGGGCCAGAGGGCTCTCTGTATACTGAAGGAGACTCTAATCCAGGGCCCGGTAAATCTGGTAAACCCAGACTTTGCCAAGCCTTTTGCAGTGTTCACCGATGCCTCAGACACAGGGCTGGGCACGGTGCTGATGCAAGCCGATGCTAAGGGGGGAGACACCCCATCGGGTACCGGAGCAAGAAAGTGCTGCCCCGGGAGCAGAACTATGCGGCCTCAGAGAAGAAATGCCCGGCCATGGTGCAGGCCCTTAGAAAGCTGCAGCTGTATCTATTTGGGCGGCGCTTTACTGTGTATACTGACCACTCTGCTCCAACGTGGCGGCGTCACATGCAAGAGGCTGAGGCCGAGCTGCTGGGGACAGAGACACCTGTTCAGAGGGTGGCCAAGGTCCAGATGGGGACTCTTAACGAAGAGAGTCCGACTTGCAGCCCTCCAAACTGGAGCGCTGGGAAAAGACCCAATCCCAGTTTAAACCCCAGGGGTATTGGGATGGAAAAAGGGCACAGGCCCCATAAACCTTCCTACACGCAGCCTGCAAGCGCCATCAAGCACAACAGACCCCTGCGAGGGTGTGAAACTGGAATGTCCTGGTATAACTCCCACCAAGGAATGGGAGAGATGATGGGGCATCCATGGGAACGTGGGTGGGTTCGAACTTCCCCAGGTCACCGGCTAAAGTGACGTCGCTCAGTTCAGTCTCGAAGGGGGGAGAGATGTGACGAAATGGGACTGTTCTTAATGTTTCCTCTGAATACTGTGTGGGTGCCTCAGTTTCCC